TGTCAGAGTTCTCTCAGCCCCACCTACCTTACAGGGTGTCTGTTGTGGGGAGGGGAAGGGAAAGGAGTTTGTAAGCCGCTCTGAGACTCCAAGTGAAGGGCGGGGTATAAATCCAATCTCTTCTCTTCGTCTTCTTTCATTTTAGACCTTTTTAATCTGTTCTTCCTCCAAGGGAGGCAGCATACACGGTTAGCCCTTTCTCCCATTGATTCCTTACAACAGCCCTGTGAGGAAGGTTAGGCCGAGAGAATCATGCCTGCTCCAAGATCTCCCAGTGAGTTTCACAGCCAGTAGACTTTCTTGTTTGTTCGTTTGGGAAATAACTGTCTAAACAGGTTTTTAAAAATAAGAATACACCCCCGCAAAAGGCTAAATTGTCAAAACAATTCCTGCGCAGTGGCTAAAGCGGCGGACGGCAAAGGAGTTTAACAACCTCCCATTTGCGGTGTAAAGCTACGCCAAAGAAGGAAGGGAAGATTTTTGAAGCTGCACGGAAATTTTAAATGGGGACCAAGAAGCCAGGTTAGGGTTAGGACGCAAAGTTCTGGACCTGGCGTGGTGCTCGTCTGGGTTCTTCTACAGATGATTTGGTGACTACTGTCAAATCGGGACCGGATTGGGGGGGGGCTTGCGTTTTATCTTCATGACGGCCCTGCAAGGTCAGTTAGCTGTCTGCCCTGGAGGTCTCTGAATAAAATCCACAGACAAAACAGGATCCGACCCTGGTGCGACACCCCTGTGGCCGATCTTTTGCGCCCTCAGGACTTTCTGCCCCGTGTTCACCCGGAGACACCTGAACTGTTATTGTGCCAGTGCTGTGAATCTAGACGCAGCTGTTTAAACAGGATAGGATGTGACTCAGCTCTGTGGGCCTAAAAATTCACCTGCCAAAGTATTTAAGGATTTACATGAGATCCCCGGGCAAAAAATCGGGGAGGAGCCCTGGCTCGGTGGTAGAGAACCTGTTCGGCGTGCCTAAGATCCCGAGTTCAAATCCTGCAGTCTCCAGTTAAAGGGTTTTCAGTTGCAGGTATCGGGAAAGACCGATCTCTGCCTGTAGCCGTGGAGAGCTGCTGCCGGTTGTACAACACCTAGCCCGGCAGACCATTGAACGGACTCGAAATAACACAAACCTGGGCTCAGTGTTGGGGTTTGAACGCAGTCCGAGGCTGAAGAGGTGCCTGGTTTGAATCTTCCCTCTGCCACAAAACTCACCGGGGTGTGTGTGTGTGTGTTGTGTCTTCCCTTTCATCGGCTGCCTGACTGGAGGATTTTGACTACGCGAAGAGGCCGGTCACGCTTCCTCTCAGCTTAACCCAGTTTGCAGGATTGGTTGTTACAAGGAGGAATTTCACATTACCCTTTTTAACCCGTTTTGAAGCGGTTTTTGATCTGTCATGGAGTAAACCGGTATAGGGCTGCCATTCCACACATGGCTTTCCCCTTCCGGTAAAGAGCTGGATCAGAAGCGGTTTGCCATTTCAGACTGCACCACTTTTTCCCGCTTTTTCTCCTCCGTTTTTCGCCCGTGCGGGCCATCTCCGGCTTTTTTTTTTTTAACATTCGCTTTAGAGCGCTATAGTGCTATAACAAAACACTCCAGGGATTCCAATGGGGTTGATATAATGCTGTTGCGTTATAGTGTTATAGCGCTATAACGCTATACAGCGAACTCCCCCCCCCCCCCAAAAAAAAGGCCGGAGATCGCCCACGCGGGCGAAAAACGGTGGGGAAAAGCGCATCGGAACCAGGAGAGGAAACTGAAGACTACTTGGAAGCGGCTGACAGGTAAAACGCTTCAGCCCCATTTCCTAAATGGGACAGAAGCATTTGTGTCTGAAATTACAAATATATTCCGGTAGGGAACCAGTTCTAAAACGGTTCTGTCTGAAATGACAGACCAGAAACCATTTGGGAACCGTTCCTCTTCCGGATTATATCGTCTCTCTGAAATTCCTCAATAATAATGGAGTGGGGGGGGGGATCATGTATACCGCCATGAGCTCTTTTGGAGGACTATAAAATATTATAAATATTAGGTACATAACTACAATGATAACCTTTTCAGTTGCCAGGGCACCTCTGAGCGTGTAGAGTTGCGTCGTCGTCCCCCTGGCCCACTGTTCAACCTTCACCAGCTCTTGTGAATCTGGAAGTAGGGGGTTACACTACCCCCTTCCTGCCCCCACAGCCTGGACCAGAGTAGCTCAGCTACGAACCAAAAAGGGCTAAGCTAAACCATATATATAAAAGTACAGATATTTATTTCTTGGATGTAGAACCGGGTTTGACTCCCCACTCCTCCACTTTCCTCCACTTGCAGCTGCTGGATGACCTTGGGCAAGCTGTAGTTCTGATAAGAGCTGTGCTTGAAAAAGAGCAGTTTCTGCCAAGAGCTCTCGCAGCCTCACCTATCTCACAGGGTGTCTGTTGTGGGGAGAGGATGGGAAAGGAGTTTGTAAGCAGCTCTGAGACTCCGAGTGAAGGGCAGGGTATAAATCCAATCTCCTCTTCCTCCTCCTCTTCTTCTTCTGGCTGCTTTTGCCTGCCCCCTACAGGCCTTTCCCGGCACGAGGGGTTGGGTGCATTGGGGTACAATGCTCAGAAGAGCCAAAGGTTACAAGCCAGAGTCTCGCATGGCTCATGTGAACTGACCTGCACATTAAGATTTTAGTCGGAGGAAGAACTAGGTGCTCTGAGACTCCGAGTAAAGGGCAGGGTATAAATCCAATCTCCTCTTCCTCCTCCTCTTCTTCTTCTGGCTGCTTCAGGCCTTTCTCGGCATGAGGGGTGGGTGCATTGGGGT